ACCCTAGGTTGTTTTACTACTTTTGAACCATTAGTCATGTTCGGTTTAACTCTTGACTGAAAGTAATGTGGACACAACCTGGTTAAAATGTGCAACAAACGAACAAAGCCAGTATGATTCTCGTAGTCACGAATGGTGTTTGTGGTTTAAGAAAATGGGACTACTTGTGATGTTTTTAACTGAGTGCAGTCGGGAATAGATTATTCGATAGGGAATATTTCCAGGTTTCGGGAATTTTCCGAAGGACCATGTAGACCTTTGGAGCTTAATCACTCTGTTCCTGCTTCTCACGACAAGTTATCCGTCCATAGATTTAGGCATAATGTTGACAGAAGCCTAGTTACGGAAACGTTCTTCCTAAGCTATGCAGATAAAGCTCGTTAACAAAGTGTGTTCAGATTACTGGTATGAATCAAACGACAATAAAGGGATACTTGTTTGCTCCAAGTTGTCGGTTAATTTCAAAGTTTAATGTTGTCATCATGCAAGGTACACGGCAAATAAAGTCAGTCGTGTTCAGAAAGGTTATGCCAATGATCTTGTTTTTTGTGTTGTGCAGGATGCAACATAAATTATTCAAAAATAGACATTCTCATTTTTTCACCCTTTCCTTAAAGGTTTGTGGTAGCGGTTACCAAATTTTCTGTCCGAATTACAAGCGATATGCACGTGAAGGAAACGCAATAGGTTGTTTCAATTTCTTAGACACAAATGCGGCCCTAAAGTGACTAGCTTAACATATAATTAAGATTTTCTGCGTAGATTACCGGTGTGCTATTTTTGTGGCTAGGAGAGAATTTCCACCATGCAGCTGTTCCTTTTGCATGATCCAAGTGAACATGTCAGCGGACGAATGTCTTAAAGTAGGTGAAAAAAGCGAGTCCTCGTTAACCTCATGATGCACCAACGGGGAGCAATCAGCTGAATCCAGTGCATTCTTCTTTGGTCGCAGTAGGCGTGAAAGCTTACAGAAAGTACTTCTGCGTTCGATTTGCTTTCTATTTTATAACGAAATCTTTGGATTGTGTGCGACGCGCGTATCAGATTAAGCCAATGACTTATCCACAAAAATAAAATCTATCTAGATTTTTAAAGATTCTGAGGCTAACATACATAAATTTGGTGAACATTTGAACAACAACTCTCAGTTTATCTACTTATGTGATTTGAACAGATTAACATTTTACCGTTTTTTGCTTTTCCAATAAATTAGTGATGGTATTGTTTAAATTAAATTAGTTGAGTTGTGATTTTTGAAGTGTCGTTCAGTACTGGTTGAAAAACTTCCAGCCTCTCTTCATATTTGTTCAAGCTCCGCACCAAAAACCGAAATGTTTACGACAAGGTAGCAATAGAAGGCTGGAACTAATTTCTTGTTCTACGAAACTAAAATATTTTCAAGCGTAGTGTAACTCTAATACATCCTGCATTGACAGTGTAGACCCAAGTTGTTGCTGGGCTTTATTAAAAAAGCTCTTTATTACAAGCGGATAAAATCACTACCAAATCTTACAAAACTTTACTCACAGCAGTGCGCCGTACGATTCCAGTATTTTATTCAGTGGTTGGCAAAACAAGCACAGGGATCTAGATGTTAAATGAAAACACGGTTAAATCTACTTTCATACTTTCACACGTTACTGTAGTGATTTGTGATATATGGAGTTTCAAAAGAGTGCCCACCTTTTTTTATTAATTGTGCGCTCCACTGACTGCATGGAAAAATATGAGCCTATTTAAAACGGACAAGTAACTTGTTACAACGATGGGTTCCTGAAAATTCCTGCAAATTATGAATCATTATTAAAATTCGTATAACAATGAGTTACTTGGCGGGTTCGTCCAATCCCGCCGTTCCGACTACGTGTAGGCTTCTTCATTTAACTGGCCATTTTCAGCTATTGACAAGCAAGGAAAGCAAAATTTACCACTACCAGATGACCAGACGAGTATTTTATTGAGTGAAGGACTACTAGAATCGCACGTTTCATCATCGCCTCAGCCGACCCTCTTTCAGAGTGTCGAAGAAGAAAACAGTATTTTAAAGCGTGTTTGGGCAGGGATTAAAATGCAACATACATAGGACTGCCAGGCAGAACATTTGAGGTAACTACTGGTCTACAGTACATTTACAGCTCGGTAAGTGTCTAGTTAGAACCAAGAACCCCAGAGGAAGCCAGAAATCCCCTTAAATACAGTTCCTCATTTATTAGCATATGTCTACTTTTCTAATACAATGGATGAGTAAACAACCTGACTTCACTTAATAACCTATTTACAACGCTGGCACTGGTATTCCGTTAACCTAAAAGCACTTAAAAGTTGGATTTTCCGCCTTCCAGATTTTCATAAATATTGATAAAGCTCTTAGGAAACGGCAGGTGAATTTCCGTCAGCTATAAAGAGCCACCCTCTGTACATTTAGAAATACACGGAAATTATCTACTCAGGCATCACAGAAAAGTGAATGCCAGTAAAATAAGCCACTGACAGTCCACAAACATTAAAGTACATCCAATGTTTACGCTTACGTAGCCACGCCGAAAACAGTTGCTACGATGGAACATGTACTAGTGTAAATTGCTCATACCAAATGACCTAGATGGATACTTGAACGGAAATCGAGGCTCCAGAAAAAAACGCAAAGGAATAATGCTAAAGGAGGTTAAGTTCAGAAATACGGGAAAATTTCAGATGCATAGCTAGTTCACTCACTCGAGTTAGGTTTAAGCTGCAAGATGAGAAACTGGGCCCATGAAGCAATCTACCGCGGTTTAATTACTAAACAGCAGATTATTCTACGGAATTTCACAAAGCTCAATATGCTAGGTTCTTTGCACTTTTCCGCCTTTGCCGCTGATGTTTTGCACCGTGTATAGGGTTGATTTGTCGTTTTTTATTCTTCACGGAGAGATTGGAACTTAGCACAGTGATAGTGTGACGAATATTGCGAAGTGTAGTACTGATATTTACAGGGATGGTTATACTAGTTTGGTCAATGTGTGAAGGTTCGACCAATAAATTTTATTGGTTGGGGACTTGTTCTTTAGATATCTAGGCCGCTTTGAAGGTCCCACGCCAACCAACTTTGCCTTATTGTCAGGTTTTTTGAGCCGCATGCTCTTATTGAGGACCACAGTCGTATTCCAGTCTTAAAGTAGGCCTTCCGGCAGTATCTCAACCCACATTTAACCCACATTTACAACTGCTATCATAACAAATCGGTCATCTACCGAATCGCCCTACATGCTGCTTGCAGCAGGACGAGTGACCTAAAACGGACCACTGTTGAAGCCATCCTTATTCTTTTTCTATATTTCCGTTCTCTTGGACACTTATTTTTCAGTAACACTTACGAGAGCACATTCTTGAGGAGCGATAGATGCCTACACTAACGATTGCCGTTAATTGTAATATCTACGGTTGACTTTTCTGTGTATGCTGATTACTAATGAAATGTGTTGTCTCTCTAAAATGAGACTTCCAGACTAAAGAGCGATTTCTTGAATTGACCCCCCATCGGTTTCCTCTCGCTTTTAGCTATGTAGCTATGGTAAATCAGAAGCTGCTGCGACTAGCCCTGCTGGGGTTTGTATTGTTCTAAGCCACCGAACTAAAGAGCATAGTCGCCTCCGTTACCTCGTTTGGTGATGTCTCTAAGGATATCCCGTAACTGCACTCTTTGTTCATTGCAACTGCCTGCACTCTAACAAAGTATAACTCTGCTGCACTCAAAGGCAGTTATAACGATGCTTTTAGTCAAGAACTAAGAGCTCAGATACAGTTCCGGTTGGTGAGGATATGAAGCGCAAGTTGGCCAGCATAACGCTACTGAGGCTCCATTCGGTAGTCGTCTAGGTCTGGATTCGCATGCCGACCTACACCCTGTAGAGGAGAGCATTGTTTTCTATGCTCAATATGTCATGAGAGATATCTAGGGGTGGACAGAAAGTTACGTGGCGGAAGGAAATGAAGGATGTAAGGAAAGGTTTGTGCGCTATTCGTGGTGTTCCCCTTGCAGGTTGGGGCCCACGCGTTAACTAAAGACGGTGAACGCTACGGCTGCAAATTTACGTCAGTCAGCATCCAGATTTCCTGGCTAAGTACTAGAGGTGTAGGAACCTCGGAGGTTTTTGGAGACCAGCCGTTGGTCCCTCTGCCTGCCCCGTTTCTTCCTTCTCTCCATTCTAATGTTTAAGTTAAATGAACTGACTTGTTTCCATGACAATGAACTACCGCTTTTCTTACCTGGTATTACTGCTAATGGTAACAATGACGATCGTTTTTCTATCGTGCATCCACAAGTGTCTCCCCAGACTGAACCATCCAGAAATGTATTTTAAAGCACGCCCAATTTGACTCTTGATGTTCTTAACAGATTAATCGCGAAACAATATTTGATAGGTCATCTCAACTGGCTCAAGAGTGTTTCTTATAGGATGCGCCATCGACGTAAAACACGTAAACCCTAATACTGCTCGTCCGACATTATCATTCGGTGATTAGATATACGCCCACCGGACCCAAACGCACTGGGGAACTGTTTTCTTGAAGACTGTTTAGACGTCTGCAGGCTATTTATCAGGCTGCGCCTGTAGATCAGCGGCCAATCAATAAACATTACCAGCAATTGGACTCATTGCCAGCTACCTTTCCACAAGATCTCTTGTTTCCTGGTGCTTGGAATTCTCTGTTTTCGTGTAGTAGAGTCTTGAGATCACGCTCACCTTGCACGCCAGGTGACAAAGAATTCCCGCAGTGACAAAGATGAAGTTTAAGGCTTGATTTTATAATAAGAAAAACTGTAGTCCGGCTCTTCTCTGCCGTGTTATGGACTAATCGGACTTGCTTCTTCAGAGCGGGAGGAGGGTGTTTCAAAATCCCTCAGTTGCAAACACTACCTTAAACTATTAAAGGTTGTCCTGAATCCCATGAAACCAATTTTTAAAATAAGAAGTTATTACATGGTTGACGACCAATTTTCTATCTCATTCCTACAGCCAGAAAACATCATGATTGAGGACCTCGCTTCAAGAAAAATCAAAATAATCGATTTTGGTCTCGCGCGTGTTTTACATCCAAATCAAACATTCCAGGACATGGCAGGTACTCCCGAATTTTGCGGTAAGTCGTATTTAGTCGTAACCTTACTAATGCGTCTAACACCAACGTCATCAAATTTTATTTCTTCAAGAACAGATCAGTGCTCTGTTATGAAGTCTTTCTCCGGTTCCTACTTGTTTCCAAAGAAGAAGCTCATAAATTCAAAATTACCTAGATATCTAACTCCTACACAGTATTTTTGTATCTCGTTTTCAACCCAAGGCTAAACAAGTTTTTTGAGCATTATCTCAAAGTGTGCACCGTAATTAAAGATAATCTAGCGGTGGTCAAAAACGAGTGTTCATGCATTGTTGAACAACCACAGGAGTTTTGAGATGCAGCAAAGGACCGTTCTGCATGGAACCCTTTGGCATAAGTATCGACGTGATGGTATAAAATTGGCCAACGGACATACAGAGGTCTATTGAAATCCGGTGGTTTGCCTGAACTTGATACCAAGACTATAAAAGCCAACGCCGAGCAATTGTTTGTCATCGACTTATTGCATCAATTACTCTGAGTTTTATCTTGCTCCCGCTTTTTTCCATTGGGATGTTGTACCCGGTAGGCTCCTATTTATTTACTCGTGTTGACAATAAACATCCTGGTGTTTTCTCAACTAATACGGTATTGTTGCTGACAAAGAGATTTCGGCAACTCTTAGTCGAGGTTTCCTTCCCTAAGCTGGGTCGATTTCTGCCGAAAAACCAAAACGCTCTGCAAAGCCCTTCCATTTTTATTGCGGGTTATCAGCAGTTCGCAATTCACGGGCCTCTAAGTTGATTCAAGATACTCCCCTTCTAGCTGATAGTTTAAGAAAAGCCGTTTGATCAAGATTGGCTGATCAGCAATTCTATTAAGCCGCACTTAGGCAAGAAATAGTGATGGTGTCCCCCACTCCACAAGAGCCGTAAATTGGAACTGATAGGAAAATGCAATAATCTCAGTCTGCACATGCCGGTATGAATACACTGGTGATACGGAAGCAGTTCACACACCTCCATCTGCGTCCACCTGTTGAGCAAGTCTGAATGATAGTGGAAGCTCTAAGGATATTAATTTCCTATAAGTTTCTTGCTTGTCATGTGGTACTGAAAGGCCGTGCTTCCCCAGGCTCTTCACATCTGTGCAAGCAGTTATAATCTGAACGTTTCTTTTGAGTGTTCAAGTTTTTCGTTATTTGAAACGGGCGGTACAATTTTTAACTTTCTAAACGTATCTAACTTTAAGGCACATTTTGTAGCCGGCTGTAGGTGAGCTGATCTTGAGACAGCTCGAAATAGCTCATGGGAAAAGGTGCGAGCTCGCTGACCAGAAGTTTCGTTATCCGAACAAAAACTGTGCATCCCAACAGATCTTGTTTTGGGCAAACTCATACCCCTCTTGCTTTCATCAGGTGGCATGACAGCTAGACGACGGAAGGGTATCACAACTAAATTATTGTTGATATTAGACAATTATAATATTATATAATCTATATTATATTATATAATATACAATAATATTATTACTGGTCCGACCTTGAGAATACGTTTTTATCATTTATCCTAAGGGGCCAAAGCGGTGGAACAAACAGCGTTCGAATATATTGGCGTTTGTTCTCTACAGTTCTTCCCAATTGCAGAATTGGTTTGTTTATTTGGTTCGAAACATTTTGTCTAAAGATCGCAAGTTATGTCTGTCTCTGTATCATCAGGCAGATGGCTGTTACTCAATACCAGTCGTTGTGCTTTACCTCAGAACATGCGCGGGCAGTTTAATAGAAAGCGTAAGTCCTGAAGCGAGTGCACCGTTGGGCCAGCAGAAACTTGCGCAGTACGCTTTCGCAAACATCCAGCTTGGTAAACAGATTCCGTCGGAAGCCCCGGTGCACGTTTGCCTCAATACGATTACTTTTATGAACTCAACATGAATCTCATACGGTAAAATATTTTCTCAACATGAATTTATCCGATTAACAGCGTCTATGTTACTAAATTATGGCCTTTAGATTTCTTAAATTCCACCGACACAGAAGCAAAGTTCAAATGCGCTCAAAGGCATCTTCATTTGGAAAAAAATAGGGAAGACACTGAAGGCTAAAATCATTTGGATGCTACTTTTGTGAAAAATGTAAAAATCGCTTATACTCGACTTTGATACGCCAATATTCCTCCTAAATTGGTGCACCTGCATGGATTAGGGCATGTGTTCATCAGCCATTCTCCAACTCAGAACTAACTGCTGCTGAACCAAACAAGTAGTGCCCTGGGGGCATTTCGTCAGGCATGCCAAAGATACATATCTGCAAAAAAATCAATATCCGTTTGTTGATGAAACAGACATCTGAGGGGAGCAAAGACCACCTAACAATTCCTGCTCCTGAAATTGGACATATGGTCGAGAGACAAAAAACAGCCTATTGTTCCATGTTTTTGAGCAATTCAAAAAGCGTTCAAAAGCAACGAACAGATATATCAGAGGATTGTGCTGTTGGTCACGCGAAATTTTATCTGGATTCAAAAACGGATGAGGTAATACCACTCACATAGTGTATTTTGTTGTTTACTGTTTGATGATATCTAATTTATAATAAATCATTCAATTTAGCAAAGAGAAGGCAAGCTGCTTAAAGTGGACACCTCATTGGTGGAAATGCCACGCAACGTGAGAAGCTTATGAGAGTTTATGGAACACCATATTTCCCAGGCACAAACAGACAAAAGTACGATGCCACAATTCGGCTGTCAAAGAGGGCATTCAAGTGTGATTCCGTAATGAAAACAATAGCCTTCTACTCCTGGTATTAGTGCTCATTTTGAAATTGCTTACCGTCCCACCAAAATCCCAATGCTCAGGACTGATTCAGACCTTCTACTCATTATCCATAATTTCCTAAAATAAAATGTTTACCGTACCTCTCAGTTTACTCCAATGAAGTAAATCCAATCTCTCAGATGTAACACGTTTGGTGTCCAGTTGCCAGGCCAGCCGAAGGAAGCCTGAAGGCAGAGATTCTGCAGGTTTTTCAAGCCCACACAGGGGTGAGATTGGTTCGAACCACTAACCATCCGACCATTAATTTTCGCCTTAACCACTATATTAACTCGGATGGATGAAAAAGTAGCTCAGTAAGGCAGTCTAATAAAAGATCGATCTCCAAGAGACAGCCACTTTAAGGCTAAAAGACATCGGACCTACCCACTATAAATTTATAGACCAGAGAAATGCTCCTCGTTTCTATTTGGAAGGACAGCCGCAAACAGAGTGTCTCTGCCTTGCTTTAGCTTTTCAGAATTTAGCTTACCAATAAAAAGTTTAGACTAATGATCTTTCGTGCGTGATAGGAAAGATTTTTTATGCAGCTTATGTCAACCTGCACTCGTCATAGACTAGCGAAGTCATTAGAACTGCAGTGCTTTACATTTTATGAGACGGACTGTACATTCATCCAGCTAGTCGCTGTTGGATGTCGTCACAAAATCACGGCGACCGACCTTGGTACAAAGCAGCGGTAGACAATTGCAGTGGAAACGATGCGAAGTATGAAGTAAAGCTAATGTTCGCCTGTCATATTTTCAGTCTGTTGGACGAATACAGACCGCACGTCTCGTTGATAAAATGTCACTGTGGAGAGTGGGGTACGCAGGTCCGTCAATTACTAGGTTCAAACTAATAACTGGTCTTGCGCCAAATTCAGTAGTTCAAAACGAAGTGCAAAACAACGGACGCATGAACTGTCCAAATCACATATCTTGTTTATCACTCAAATGCAATCAAGCACTCAGAACCATTCATGGAACATGCATACATAGGAAGGACGTTAGTTCATTCACTAGTACACCAAATACTAGGTAAAGTAAAAGGTAGTTTCATGCACTTTTCCTTTAGGAGTGCAGTGAAACAAATTGTTCCCAAGACATCTTATCTGTAGAGAGTTGAAATTCCGAAGACTCTAAAAGTCAGTCCTGACAAGAACAACAGCGTTGATAGCGTTCATAAAAGCTATATCCAAGGTAGGTCGCTTTACTCAAAGACATTCATAGAACTTGAAATACTCCTGTTTGGAAGTTCCGTGGTTCGAATTTAACCCCTGGATCTCCCCTATTCCCGTATAGGCTTGTGTAACCTGACTGTATCTCAGCCCAAGAGCTTACTTTTTGTGGCCTGTTAGCCAGGATGTTCATACTAGCTCATGCATTGACCATAACGAGATCAAGTGGTTTAACCGCATCAACTTCAATAGCCTTGGCTGAATTGGGGAGCACTGTGTGTGAACAAGAATAAAAGAAAAAAAACTGTTTGCTTCACTGCATATATCTCCATTTATAAGCATCAAGAAGCTCGCCAACTCATTCAAGGGAAAGTGAACATCGTTGGAATAACTTTGAACACAATGTCCAAGAAAACATCCTTTGCTACATAATATGCCAGCTGATCGACCAAACTGATCAACTCAGCAGGCAAGGTAATGATCACCTGAGCAAAATTAGCCCCTGATGTTTTCTTGAATATTACTCATTGACCAGATAGCCAGCTACGACAGTTTGACTTTTTGACTCCAGCAGTAAAGTTGTTAATCTAACAGGTTTAAATAAGCTTTCCACTGTGAACCATGGTCATATTCAGTCTAAGACTTAATGACCATGGAAAGTACACTGCTGACCGTTTAGGCCAGGAGTGTAGCAGACATAATGAAGTAATTGATTTACGCCTTATCAAAATGTTATCAACTCCGAACAAAAAAACCTACAAAGATTGTTAATACGTAAGGTATTTATACTGTGAAGTAACTTGGAGTATTTGACGGAAATTCTTGGTAATGCCTGAGCTGAGGTGAATATAATGGACCACTTTCTACGTAGCCTTGTACAATCCTTCTCTCCGGGTGGTGGTGAATTCTTCGGCTATCTTTTCAACACATTTCACACAGCTATCTGGCGGGTTTTACGGTATTTACTGTCATATTGAGATCACCAACGTCAGACCGTCCTAAAGCCTAGGTGCAGTGCACAGCGGATAATATTACTCCATTGCATGCA